TAATGTCCAAATAAATCAATATATCATTGCCAAATTTTTGTAAATTTGTTTCTTGCGACGTCAACAATTTTTACTCTATAAACTCGTTTTGAGTTATATTAAACGCCCATGTGGTCCGTGTGAAACTTTAGATTTTCGGATAATTTGTCGGTCATTTCATTTACCTATTATCCCTTATATATATATTATTATCTCATATTATTTTACATTCAAATTATCTTATGAATATATATGTGTATATATATAGTCTAATATTGATGACGACAAACAAGAACTACCATCAAGTGATGTTGTTGTACTCATCACTCAACCTCCTCCAGAAACTATTTCAAATTATGTAAGACCAAACGATAGAAGGTTTCGTTCTCAACAAGATGATTTGCTTCCTTCTTTTACCGATGCTGAAGGAAAAGTTTTTAAAATCGGTGATCGAATAGCTTGTTATAAAGATGGTTTATTAACTGCTGCTCGAATTATGGACATTGATAAACCATCAATCCCACATGTTGATCCTGCTTTACAAGAACGTGTATTTGTTCATTTCGAAGGTTGGGGTCCTGAGCAGGCTAAAATGGTTACCCCTCTTGATATCTTGCCTTATTTTCAAAGTGCTCCCGTTTTAATTGGTCCTCTTGGAAAAGATGATTTAAAATCTTGGCAAGAATATAGATGTTTCTACCAATCAGATGAGGGTAGACTGGCACGTGAGCACACCGCTATCGTCTTTGATGAAACAATGTTACTACATGAATGTCCATGTAGATATCGTGATAACAAATCAACCAGTCATCCTGAAAATCCAGAGCGTTGTATTGAAATAATGGGAACTTTTGAGAGTCAAGGGTAATTTCATTTTTATATTAAATTTTAATTAATTTATTAATTAATTAATTAATTATTATTATTATTTTTTTTAAAGTCTTTTACGAAGGGTCAAGCGAATACGTTCTAGAATGGCAACAAAGGAGGAGCTTGAAAGTTGTCACGTAGGTGAACATGTTGCCACGTATTTCTCATATAAGAGGATTTGTATGCCAAAGATCGATGAAAATTCTGATGTAAAGGTCTGCGAAGAATCTGTTGCAGATATTGCTGATGTTGAGAAAAAAGATTCCGTTGGCAAAGTCCAAAAATTAATTGAATGGTCTCCGCCGGCTCTTAAAGATGCTATGTCTTGTGGTGAACTAGGCATTTGCTGTGATACTACTTATAATCCTGCCGGAACTCCAAATGCGGCTAGAATGGCTGCAGGGTCTGTTATTGAAATTGTCTGCGCTGTCGCATCCAGGAAGTATGTAATTTTTTTTTTATTGTTCATTTTACGTTCAGAGGTTTAAACTTTATATATATATATATTAGAGTTGCCAATGGTTTTGCGATAGTACGTCCTCCCGGCCATCATGCTGAACGAAATCAAGCTATGTATGTATATTATTATTTCTATCAAAGTTAAAATTTGATCTTTAATTTTTGATTCCTTCCGACCTTTATAATTATATACTTATATATTTGTATAGGGGATTTTGTTATTTCAATAATGTTGGTAGGTGTCGGATGTCCCAATACTTGTCAGAATGATAACTGTCTAACATAATCAATTTTCTTTATTTATTTCATATTATTAATAGGTATTGCAGCGAACATGGTTTTGAAAAATTATCCTAATCACGTTAAAAAAATTCTTATAATTGATTGGTAAGATTTATCTCATTTAATTATATAGTTATATGTTTTATAATTGTGTGATAATGATCACGCAGACTAATCTTTTTTTAACCTCAAACAGGGACATTCAGTAAGTAATTATAAATCTATTATTATTAATATGTTATTAATGTTATTAATGTTATTAATATGTTCTTATTAACATGTTATTAATATGTTCTTATTAACATGTTATTAATATGTTATTAATATGTTGGCTCCATTAATAATAAAATAATATTAATCAATTAGTCATGGAAACGGCACACAAGACATGTTTTACGATCGTGATGACGTACTGTATTTGTCGTTGCACCGTTGGGATAATGGTAACTTTTATCCTTACTCTGGTTCACCCTCTGACCTTGGTACGGGTAATGGACTAGGTAAAAACGTTAATATTACTTTTTCTTCCGAAGACGACAGTGAGTATTTCATTTTTAATTATTTGAATTATAGTTAATTGTATAAATTATAAATTATATTTAATGTTGCTTTAATTTAGAAATTGATGCGATGGGTGATACCGAGTATGTTGCTGCATTCAAGCATATCGTGATGCCAATTGCCATGCAATATAACCCTGACCTGGTTATCGTGTCTGCCGGTTTTGACGCTGCTGAAGGCCACGATGATTTTGTAAGTATTAAATATTAAATTGAATATATGGGATAAGTCAACTGAAAAAAGGCAAATTTTTTCAATGTAAAAATTTAAATTAAAATGATTCAATAACTACTAAACCAAATTTAATTAAATTTGATAAAAAATTTTTTGATTATTAATAATTCTAGAATAATTCTAGAGTTAAAATAAAAAAAAAATTTTTATTAAATTTTATTTGGTAGTTGCGATATTTTAATTTAAAATTTTTTAAAAAATACATATCTATTATTAAAAAGATTTGCCTTTTTTTCTATTGACCTCCCCATATACCATACCGATTAGACTTTTTTTTTTTGAAATTCATCACACTAATCAAGACGTTTACAAGATTGGCGGTTACAAAATTACTCCTAGAGGTAAAGTTCAGTTTTAAAATAAATGCATTGGTTAATAAGTTAATAATATTTTATCGTATTTTATCATATTTTATCATCATTTATATTAGGTTATGCATTCATGACACAGATGCTTAAATCTTTGGCTAACGGGAAAAT